GTATTCTAAGACTAATTTTGATAACTTTTAATCCACTCCACATTTGATTCATTTGAAAATTCATACTTATTCCCAATAGAGTAAATCCTAAATGGAGAGTTTAAATCAATCTAAGGTGCCGAGGATGCATTGAAATATATTACTGAACCTTATTTTGATATAATATCTTTAATAATGGAAGATTTAATTTGAACACTTCCTCTATAATAATTAGTTCCATCTATTTATATTATCCCTCCACTACCATATGTGAGTATTTAATTTAAATTTGAGTTCTCTATAACTATATCTAATAATATCGTTGAAATAAAAAATAATCCTCCGTTTTATCCTGAAAATACCTAATTAATGTGAGTATTGTTCATAACATTAAGCGTGATAAATTTAGTGGTAGCTATATAAAATGCTCCACTTCCATTTGTCTAGATATTTTAAATAACAGAGTTACTTATTGCTAATGAGCATTCTGCAGAATTGATATTAAATATACTACCATTTCCAGACGCATTAATATTATTTATAAAGGAGTCCTTGATGTCTATACTAATGCTATTTAATAAACTTGCTTGTAGTATTCCTCCATTATTTGAAGAGAATATGTTACTAAATATACTTTAATTTACAAAAATTTTTATTAAAAACCCTCTTTAAACTCCTATAATTGTTCCATCTCTTGTGTGAAAATTTAAATTGTGAAACTTAGTATTGATAAAAGAAATGATTGCCATTTATTTGAAAGCTGAATTAACTTAAATGAGCTGTAAACTGTGAGCAATATCATTTATTATATTCTCAAAATGACTATTTTAAATATCGATTTAAAAGAATCCTTTGTTATCAATTTTAATGAGGCTTTAAAAAGAAGGCTTAATAAAATAATCGTTTAAAAAAGTAATGTCATTAAATTCTAATTGACTTAATTATGCATTAGTAGCATTTAATCTGATTAATGGCTTATGACAATCTATACATTGAAGTCCAGAGATTGTAAAATTAGTTAAATTCATACGTGTAATTTATTAAAAAGACTGAAAGGGGATTCCTAAAATGCTGCCTGTGCTTAATGAAGATTCTTATCTGAAGATTACATCCTTAATGCTCCAGTTTTCAAAGCTATTATTACCTAACTAATTATAATTTAAGTCCCATCCAACTATACTTAGCAAACTGCCATCTTTTAAATTTTAAATTAGACTATGATTTAGATCTAAATATTCTTATGAAACTGCCTACATTAGACCTCTCATATTTTTAAATTAGATTTAATTTATTAGAGTCATACCTTCAACATCACGTAGAAATATGCATTGAGATCTATTCAAACTAGATTCCAATTCAATAAGATAATTTTATTCAAAGATAATCGAACTCAAATCTACATATCTCGATCTCTCTATTTTTATAAGAGAAATAGCTAAACTTTTCTCACTATCAACTACCATTAATTCAATTTCAATATTTTTATCTGTTGGTTAATAGCCAGGAAGCATTTATTTGGCAAGTACTGTTGTCTTTTGAAGAAAAGCATCAGTATTGTTTATGAATGTATCATTCTTAATTTTAAACTTCTTGACATTAATGATACTAATTATACCATTTTAATTTGAAGCAGTATTATCTATGTAAATATTGCCATTCATCTCCAAACTATAGCTTTCTTCTTCTAGATCTGATAAATTAAGTGAATTTAATGAATCTTCCCTAGCTGATTAGAATTGGGGTAGCTTAATGATTCCATTAGGTTCTTCAATTTGCTAATAATTGCAGCATTCAAAATAAAAAGAGCCACCAGATATTCCAGAGAAACCAAAGTTTTATTAAAATAGATTATTTTTTACTTAATAGCCGAGACAATATTCTTATTGATTCTATATAGACTGCTAACTTGCATATAATCCTTGCTAGACTTTAGCTCTAATAAATATTGCATTGCTCTAGATTATTCCAAAGTTATTTTTAAATAAGTTATCTTCAATAAGAAAAATATTTTCTAAATTTCTGTGATACATTTCTAGATATAAAACTCCTTTTGTGCCTGAATTTTAGATAAATTTATTCTTTAATATCTCAACTTTAAAATCTCCATGATTGACTATTGAGATTAATGATCTTATTTGAATTGCTGACTTAGGCCCATAATTTTGGTATTAATCAATTTCTAATTTTACATTATTGAGAATTTTCCATGATTATTCATAATCTAGATCTACTATAAGGTTATCAATGAAGCTAACCTATTCAATAATAATAGGTCCTTAGAAGTTATCTAAGTCTAGATACAATCCCATTTTTTACATTTTAAGCAGTGGATTGACCCAAAATGAATTCTAAGAGAAATTAGTCATCCTACCGAAATCTTATACAACACCTCCAGAGATATTTAAACTAAAACATGGATTACTAGATTTGCCGCAGTTATTAAAACTGAATTCCTGTGTTGGCTGTTTATTTTTAATTATTTCAAAAGTCATTAACTAATTTCTATTTAGAAATCCACTTTTTAAATATTAGTAAACTTAATCTAATCGCTTGTTTCTCATAATAGATCCACAAGAATTTATATTGATAAAACTAGTATTTATCATAATTACGTGTGCTCCAAAGTCATTTATCTCAATTATACTATTAAAATCATACAAAAAGTTTTGAAAAACAATATTCTACAATTAATTTGAGTTAAATGAAATAATACCTCAAGAATAAGTTGCTGTGGTTTCTCTAATAAAGTTTAAGAAGAGATGTCAAATTAGAATAATGAGCTTCCAGTAGGTAAATTACACATGGTATCCCTAAATGGTATTAGAAAGAGATGAATTTAAATACGGCTATCTAATCAGCAGACAGAATTCAGGTCCAATTATTGAAAAGTTTCTGCTACTTTAGTCCTTCAAAATTTAACAGCAATTATTAAATGGATCTTAAAGGCAAGAATATTCTTTCAAATTTATTAAATTTTAATCTAGATAAGTCTATCGAGAGTCCAATATTGAATCAGTAGCATCAAATACAACATTTCTTATCTCTAAGCCTCCTCCAATGAGAAAATTAAATTTATCTCTTAGTTTATAGAGAATTTTTACTTGCGTCCCGTCTAATGAATCAATTTTAATTACTGTTGATTGAGAATACTAGTCAAAGGCTTAAGGTATAATTAAGTCATCAGCATAACGCATCATTGAGTGAACTTTTCCAGGTATTAATATTATATGGATAATAGCTTGCAAATACTTAGCACCATATTCATATGCTTTTACTATTGCACTTTACAATGAATAGAAGGGATCTTAAAGACTCAAGCCAGTAGTCTAATCTAAGGTAAGCTTATCAGGAGCACTGTCGACGTAAAGTATAATATCACTATTTCCAGATTTTTAAACACATTAGCCTGTAGTTTTTTAAGATGACCCTGTGTAAAGATAAAATCCTTTCTTGCAAGAGATGCATTCTGCTTGTGAAGCACACTCAAAGCAATTATCACTACATATGGAGCAAATTGAACTTTCAATTAAACCTCTGCTATTAAATATTATTTATCCATACCTCCCAAGACCACAATTAGTTGTACATTAATTAGTCAGAGGATCAACAAAACCATCATTACATGCAATAATATTTTACTGGACAAGTTAAGATTTTTAGGTGTCAAAGGTAAAATTACATCTAATAGGAGTTGAAATTACTTCATTATCTACCGAAGTTTTATAATCATTTTCGCACTCTATTAAATTTAATAATTAAAACATTAGAAAACTATTTAATGAATTTATTTACTTTGACATAATTGATTTCCATCAATATTTTTATATAAGCTATAGCCTTATATGCAGATTTCACAATTATCTTCATTCTTAGTTTCGAGACAAATGCCTTTCTATGAAACTATATAAAATAGTAATAATAATAGAAGCAATACATTCTAAACAAGTATCTTGATAATTGGAAGTAGTTTAATTGAAGAATGATTTAGTTTTTAAATAGAATCCATCTTTACATTTAATACAATTTTATTTATTCTCATAATCAAATATCAAGCAATGAGAGTCAGTGCTTTATAGTGACTCATTGAAAGTACCTATTTAAAATTTGAATATAGTAGCTTACTGCAGGGATGCAAATAGTCACCAGTCAATTCTGACTTTTGGTTTATAGGAAAGGTACATTATGTGCATTAAGTCGTATCATCTTGAGAGCATTTTTCACAAGAAAATTAAGTTTCACAAACTAAAAGAAAACTATTAAATAGATTGAGATTTACTTTAACATTTTCTAAAAAAATTTTCTTGTTTTAAATCTTTATTTTCAATATACTTCTTTTTTACCCATCCCTTTGATTACTCTTCTCCAGGACAAATTTCACACCCAGTATTTCAATTACAAGATTAGCAATTTTCACCGCAATCTATACATTAAAATATTAAAGTTTTATAGATTACGAAAACACTTAGAATCTATCTACCCATTAATGTAAGATTTATGAGCTTAATAGCAATCAGGAGTACAAAAGTTGAATTTTGAGATGGAGTAGTGACTTTGAATGAGATAAAATCCACCCGCACAGCTTATGCATTTAAATATTGTTTAATTTAGGTCTAACTATTCTTCTTGACATTGAATGCAGCCGAAGGCCGTATCAAAACATTCTAAA